ATATTCACAGTTATGTGCAAATGACCCGGTAAAGAGGGGCAATACATGTCAAGTGAGTTGAAAATATGTGAAAGAGGTGATATTTTTAAAAAATGTTTACTCAGTTGGTTTTATTTTTCGAAAGTATTTTTATCTAATTTTTCTTTTAATATGTCGCGCATATTTTTGTTTGTGCAATTATTTTGTACTACTTCATTTTATCCAATTGTTATCTACATGTACGTGAATATCATTTATTGAAAACATACTTCCCACAGGGTGACTCGGGCGGTCCGATTATATTGTACCGTAATATCGGCAAGAATTATTTTGATGTACCCTACATAGTTGGTATCACCTCTTTCGGCATTGGTTGCGGTACTGGAGCACCAAGCGTGTACACGCGTGTCGCTATATAGATTGGATTGAGAAAGTTGTCTACTCTTAAATATGTTTCATTTGTTTAATAGTATAAGCGAATAAATTTTGCGTTTCAACTTCTACGAAAACCTATTTATTTTATTAAAATAAATAAACATATATACTGGAAAATTAATATGTAAAACATAGAAAGAAAATAAAAAAATAAAACATATATATGTATATATGTATTGTATATTACTTGTACCCTTTAATGTAAGCTACATTTTGCTGAAACATATCTTTGAAAATAATTTTAAGTAAACAAACCCTTGGTTACCTTGTTAATGGAACGTTTTATTGACTTGTTTGGCATAGTAGATTGTTATCCAAAGCAGCGCTACAATCTCCGAACAAATTGTTTAGTTCGGACCACGAAAGCATATAGCTGACATTCAAACTGGCCGATCAAAAACAGTATAAATTTCTTCATAAAAGAACATTGTTATACAAAATTTTGCTTAGACCAAATTCGATCTTCGAAAAATGTTTAGTAAGAAAATTAAGGTATCTACTAGTATATGGAAACACATTCGCCTTTTCATGGACTCGGATTTTCTTAAAGATTGTGCAACTTTTAATCATGAAAACATAAAATTTTCACAAAATTAAACTCCAACTCAAATGCGCTTACCTTTTCCGCTCTTTATACTAGTTTTTAAACTTGTGGTTGCTAGTATAAAAAATTAATTACTGCACTCAGCTTGATCTAAAAGTCAGAACAAGTTTAGTCATCCTTGTGTACACAAGCTTACCGTTTGATTCTGGCAGGAATCTGTATAAATATGCAAACTTTTTGCGGGCGGTATTTTACTGTCGTACACTTTCAATTTTGTAATGGAAAATTTATATAAAAGTTTTGTTTTGCTTTATCGTGGCATTATTCATTCGCAGTTGTGTGCAAATGATACAGTTGGAATGAGCGATACTTCTCAGGTGAGAAAATAATCTTGAAAGATATGCTCTGCGATTTATTTCTTTGAATATTTTGTAACAAATATTTTTTTTTCTTAAAACCGCAGGAGTACTCTGGCGGACCCATTATGATGTACGGTACTGGTGATGATAATTACTTTTACGAAATGCCGTACGTGGTTGGCATCACCTCATTCGGCAATGGTTGCGGTTCTGGGGTGCCGGGGGTGTACACACGTGTCGCCAGCTATATAGACTGGATTGAGAAAATCGTATACTGAGAAAATAAGAAAATAATGTAACTGATGAAACGCAATAATTTTCCAATAAAAATTATATAACCTAAAAAGTTCAATGAAAACTAACCTAAAATATTTTCATTTCTGGCGCTTACATAAGAGCTTTTTCCTATACAGTTATTTCATATTTTTTTGCTTTTTGTTTTGTAGCACTAAAGTTTCGTTAAATTTGGGATTTCCGCATAAATGACGGCACGTTTTGACAAACTCTACCCACTAGCCGTCAAATTGCTTGTGGTGTGATGTCACCGCAAAACAGCTGGAGGCGCTCATAGTTCCAAATAGTGCATAGATGCGGTGTAACAGAGGTCAAATGTTATGCCAAACATGTGACGCCTGCGCCTGCGCACAACTATGTCACCAGACGCCTCGAAATACACACATACATTTAAATACAGATTTTATTGGCTAGACAAACAATTTTTGCTCTGGGCGCTAATCGCAGCTCAATTATTAGAATTGCCAATGAGGAGTGAGTGCAGTTATTTACATACATATATATGTATATGTATTGTACTCATGTGCACGAAGAAGAAATGCATCAGCTGTGACGTGGTCGCATCAACGCCTTTACGCAACACGAGTCACCGCTGATAAGGTGGGCATTGTGGCGTCGCCACCTTAGTCATACCACAGAAAATGTGCCAAACACTTTCGCTTTATTGTTGTTGCAGCGGGCTATCATGCACCGAATTAACATAATCGTGATACAGCAGGCACGCCGCGTGTATAAAATAAAATAATACAAATTGAGTGAAACAGCCACACACACACACATGAATACTTATACTTGTATGTAAGCATATGTGGCAGCTTGTGCAGGAGATGTTACAAAGAAAAAGCGAATTGCACGTCGACGCCACCTAAAATCAGTGCTCTCACACACACGCGCATGCTATTTTAGATGTATGTATGTATGCGTTGCTGCGGTTGCGGTCAAATAAATAGCAAATTTTCCTGCCGGCGGGCATATAATGCTTACTATGTGCAGTATGTGCCACATTAATACATATGCATGATGCGTTGCCTAATTCAATCGCTGCAAATTTTTGTGGTTGCTGTTATATGGACTGTATTTTTCTCTGCATTTATGCTTCTTCTTCATATCAAGCCACTTTTTCAATGCAAAGTTTGTTTTTTATCCTTTCATATTGCAGCTTTTGTTGTTGTTGTTTTATCAGTAAAAATGCATCAATTTGGTTTTTATAAAATTTTTTTGGTTTTGTATATATTTTTATGTTCTAAATAAATAAGAAATTATATTAGTTTAGTTGATTTTCTTATCGTTTTTGTTGTTTTTATATTTCTGCTAAGCTTGAGTGTTGTATAGTTTACCATTTTCACCGGCCTATTTTCAAATTTCAATTTAATGTCGCCTGTGTGGAGCAAATATTTATGCAACAGGAGTGTTATATTTTATTATTTTTTTAATGGGGAGCATTGTAGTGGAAGTAAGCGAACTCGGTTTGGTCGAGCAACTGAATATAATATATATAATTGCACTCCAAATATTCAAAACTGGTTGAGCGCTGTTTCTAATTTATTTTCTGACTGATGCTTTCTTTTGGTTTTGCTGCTCATGTAACGTTTGTAAAGCGCAATGTGGCTCTTTACATTGCCTTTTAAGTATCAACAAATCTCAATTTCTTGGCGCTATAAACACACCCACACACGCGCACATGCGCTCACAACAGTTTGTTGCGCGCTCTCTTTGTTTCAATTACAATTGCCCTAACCGCTTTTCAAACTTTTATTACAATTAAAGTTATATTCCTTGCTATCATTATTTTTGATTTTTTTTGGGTTAGTCTTTCTTTCTTTTATGCGTATATCTATATAAAAAAAAAAGAACTCTTTATTCCTCTAGCTCGCGCACGCTGTTTTATAGCCCGGCTTATGTAAATTTCCGCATTTAAGAAACCACTTTACGATAAGAATGGATTTGACGACAATGCTGCTTCCGGGGACATCCAAGGCATATTGTTGTTGTTCTGAAAGGAGATGCAAAATCGTTTAATTGTCTAATACCTTGAAATGTTACTGTATAATAAACAGAAAAATTTATAACAAGGAAATTTATAATAAGAAATATTTACTTTTATATTATACATAATAACGCTAAAAATATTATATATAATATACATACACACTAAATCCGTTGTTGGTTTAGTAGGGCACCGCAATTCTCATTCATATTTCTTTTTTAGCTCAGATTTTCTCAAATATTAGTTTGTTTGCTACAATTACTTAAGTTATTTCCAAGTAAGTGATTCTATGCATCTAACGACAACTTTCTACTTGTTAGACAATAAAATAACGCTGCTACTTATAAACAACACATCAAAATGTTTTATTAAACCAAAGACGGTTCTAAAACGTTTCGAATTAATATTTCATTGTAGCATGCGATTAATATTTGTTTAAAGCGTTTATTAAGTTTCATTTGCGAATAGCGAGCAGCTTGCCGTGGTACAGGGGCTACAGGTGCTATATAGCACCTCTCACACGGGTAGGCAGAAGCCGCATGCGTGCCGCAACCAAGAGCTCGCCATGTCGACAACAAACAAATAACATAAACAACCGAAAAAACCGATAACACAACAACTTAAACAACAAGGCAATAACAACCGCGAACGGACAAAGGAGAAGGCCATCAAATCAAGCACCAATGCAGGTAAGGGAGGTTCAGGGGATATACAGAAGTTCAGCTGCCTGCACACCCTTTCGCCAGAAGAGCCAGCGTTGTTCGAGGAACAAGGAGGAGGGTGAGTCGCAACGGGTATCTACTGGGGGGGCTCGCAAAAAAAGGAAGAGGGGAGGCAGACTCCCCCTCTACCACCAACGGGAGTCCCGGCGGACAGGATGATCTCAGGAGGAAGCCAGCACTTTCTAAACCCAAGCCGCGAAGCGCAAGAGTGGGAAGCTGATGCCACAGGAGCCACTTAACACCAAGCGGTGGAGGGACAGCGCAGATATGCGGACGCCCATAAAGGCATTTGTATAACTGTGCTGCCTCTGAACTACTAAGGCACTGGGGTCGGTGGAGTTTGCCGTGATCCAGGACCTACTCATGGAGGAGGTATTCAGAGAGTCTATTTATGGAGGCTACATTCCATGGAGTATAATTTAAAGTAGGTATGCTGCAGGTGAACTACAAGGACGAGAGATCTGCTAGCTGGCTGAGGGAGATCGCTCCCAAGAAGGGAGACGAGTTACTATCCATGCATGACATGACGGTGTTCCTCCCCAGGTGGGCAGGCAAGCCGTATGAGTTTGCTCGCGGGCTCATTAAAAAGTAGTAGTCACTAGCAATGTCGAATATTTCGGGTGGCTGCATAAATGACGAATCATATAAAGTCGTCAGGAGGGAGGGCTTTCGCCTGAACTACATGTTCAGATGGGTGGTCATGCGGCAATATAAGCCTAAGACGACCGCAGAAAGCGAAATGGGAGAGACGATGCTAGTGGATGAGGGTGCGGCTCAACCCTCCACTAGTACGTCGAAGCAGACGGCAACTGCCGAGATTACGGTGAAGGTCCCTACTGAGAAGGCTGGCGAACAGAGGGTGCTACCCTCCACGCAAGAGCTTCTCGAGGGACTCAAGGACCTAGCGGGTGGGAACGTGGAGGATGGCGAAGATACGGACCAATTCCTCATAGAACCGACCCTATAGTGGGTCCACAAACGGAAGTTGCTCAGGTGAACCTGCACCACGCGGCGTCGGCCTCGGCTGTCATCGCGAGCAGGTTCACAGCGGATGGTCTGGGCATACTGCAAATCCAGGAGCCATGGATCTACAAAGGAGAGGTCAGAGGGCTCAAAACGGAGTCAAATAAGGTAATCTGGGATCTCTCTAGTGAGAGACCTAGAACCTGTATAGTAGTTAGTAACGATAACGATTTCGTTTGTATAACAGAGTTCCTAACACGAGATCTGGCCGATGTGCAGGCTAAAATCAACAAAGGAGCGGACCTCGTCCTGGCAGCGGCCTACTTTCCAGGGGAGACTCTGAAGCACCCCCAGAGGTCGTCGGTAACCTGGTGGAATACTGCAGGAGGAATAAACTGCTCCCCCTCGACCTAGGATGCCACGCCAACGCCCATCACACGAAAAGGGGCAGCACAGACTGTAATACACAGGGTGGGTCTCTGCTCGAATTTATAGTTAGCAGGAATTTAAACATTGTAAATGTGGGTTGCGAACCCATTTTTGTAACTATTGTAAGAAGGGAGGTACTTGACATCATGTTTCCAAACAGGGATCGCATCGCTGCACTAGCACCTAGCAGTATATTGGAGCTCATCAGATAAGTCGTTGTGACTTACGGGAGGGCATAGTAGACCATAGGTCGCGGTGCATTCCTCCATCCATATCTATCTACACATTGTTTTTATTTAAGCGTCCAAGCCTCCATTGTTGGATACAAGATACAAAATTTTGAGAGATTATGCGGAAGTAATTCTTGTAAGTACATGTGTATGGTAGAAGTAGGAAGAGGGGTAGCAAGAAAGACAGTAGCTTTGTTGTAATATTTTATTATCAACGTAAAGAAAAAAAACTAAATCAGAAAAAGTTACTTAATTTATTTTAATTAGCAAAATTTTGTACCTAAAAATATGCTACTATTTCAGAAAATGTATATTTTTTTAAAATGTCCCAGAAAATTTAATTATTTGAAACTTGTTTGAATTGTACTATTTCAAATACAAAATATTTAAATTTTTGATTTGTGTTTAAATAAAACCAAAAAAAAATTAATAAATAATAAAACAATATACAAACAAAAATATATATAAAAAAGTCTATATAAATATGTTAAAAAAACATGAAAAAAAATATATATAATAATATTGTCTAAATACTTTTAAGTAATTTTTGAGAATCTAAAATTTTTCTAAGATTATTTTTGTCTTCAGAAGTTTATTTAGTAACCCATAATCCTATTCTGCAATATTAAACGTTTTCGGATATAATTACAAAATTTCTTGAAAAATTTGTATGATTTCCTCTTTTACAAGGTTAGCCGTTTACTGTTCTTAATAAAAAAGTTCTTTTCAATGATTATGCCCAACGAAAAGGGTATATACAGTTCGGCACGATGTTTGTAACACTCAGAAAGAAACGTCGGAGACCCTATAATGTATATAATGATCAGCGTAACTTAGCTTTGATATCTTTTTGAGATAATGATCTGAAATTTTGCATACGTCTTTCCTTCCTAAAAGCTGCTCATTTCTCAAAACCGTCGATATCGAACTACTATGTAGCTATCCACTTGTTAGACAATAAAACAACGCAGCTATTATGTATCGAACTATATATATCTGTATATATCGAACTACTACAGTATCAATTCCCACAACAGCCGGTTCTACGTTACCGGAATTGACCCGGATTTTATCCGGCCAAGGGATTTTTTGTAGCTCACACAGGCAGCATGACTTCCAGTCTGATCAATCCCTTCCACAACCTGCATCCCGCTTGCCAAACAACACCACTGTGTGACAACCGCCCATGCGGATATTACAGCTTATCACCACTTACACGTACCTTCCTCACCCACAAGATCACCCCCCAAACACCCGAGAAAAACGCGACTTTTACAATTCAACTGCAACGGACTTCAAAGTAAGATCGAGGAGATAAATTCATTTATGAGCCGGGAACGCCTATAGATAGCTGCGGTCTAAAAAACCAAGGATTGCGAGCGAGATAATTGTGGAGGCCAAGTCTTCATACTGAACAACACCGTGCAATATCGTTACATCGACCGCAGGGACACTACCCTTGAATGTCAGAGTATAACTGTCCGGTCAGGCGATGCCGTGCTCGAGATATTTAATATATACATTCCCCCAGTTACATGTTACCAGAACATAGGTGCGCTACTTCGTGGTGAAAACCATTTGGTGCTAGGCGAATTTAACGCGCACTACGCTCTTTGGCACTCCTGCCTGTCAAACGATCGCAGGGGGATGAAGCTGGCGGAACAGATTGACGTTTGAAATTCAATTCGATGGCCATGCCTCCTCGGACCCGAAGAAGTGCGCGAGATACTTTGGCCGGCAATTTACACTGCACCCTTCGGCTGACAAGGCTAACGATCTGTTACCCGACAGCTGCGCAAAATGACTGCGAACTACTTACTTTCACCGATGGGGAGGTTCAGAGTAAAATCAATAAGGCCAAATCGTCCAAATCCACTGTCCTTGACGGAATAAGCATGCTGATGCTAAAACACCTAGGCTCGACGAGATTAAGCTACCTCACTTCAGCTTGTCCATGACCACTCTCTTAATACCCGATGTGTAAAAGTCGGAAGTGTGGTCCCACTTAAGAAACCTGCTAACATAGGGGAGTCTTTCCTCAGTAGTGAAGACACTTAAGGCCTTGCTACTACCGACATTCACCACCTGAGTCTAGCAGACCATCAGCATAGCTTCCGAAAAGCGCACAGCACCACCACAGCACTTAAAGTCATAAACGCTCAGATAGTTCATGGCCTAAACCAGAAGCCACCCTGCGAGAGGACGATTCTCGTTGCGTTGGACTTGTCACAGTCTTTCGACACAGTCAACCACACAACTTCCAGGACTGAGGCGGTGGACTATGAACTACCTGAGCGGTTGGCAATCCTCCGTACTGTTTCGAGGTCAAAACACGAAACTTAAAAAAATTAAACAGAGGGTTTCGCAGGGGAGAGTGCCTCTTGATGTCCCCAAAAGAACACTTGTATAGTGAGGCGCGCATGTTTCCGGTTAAGGAACATAACGAGCTCCTCTCCAAGCAGTTTCTGCTGAGATGTTTCCGTAGAAATAAAAAACTTCACCGACTCCCTCTCAGTGAATGGCGTACTAGGAGTCAAACCACCACCCATAGCAAACGTAAATGAGTCTCCGCATGACACTGCCCACCGACGCCACTCATCTAACACCCATTTTCCTATGGTCCGACCCCGGCCTCCCGTTAGATTACCTCGACGACAACAAAACTATAACTTATCACCAAAGCGGGGACCGTTACAACAACCACAACTACCATAGGATATAGCTGTCATACAAACTCATCGATGAAAATCAAGTTCTTGTATACAATTTTTTTTCTTTGACAAGATATATTCACGAAATCCAGCATGGATTATTCCTCAAGGCATTGCTACAATTTCACAACAAATTTTTCCGAACAAACCACTATAGCATTTAGTTACCATACAAACTTACCGATCAGATAAATAAATATGTTGGTATTATATCTTAGGTACAACAGAAGTTAAATTTTTCCTTGTTTTTTTTTTTTTTTTTTTGATATCATTGAAGAGAAAATTGTTTTTATAATTAATTGACCCCTAATCTTGGACTCTCGCGCAATATTATTGCTTATTTACTTACTTTGAAACAAGACAGCTACTAAAAGCAATATTAAGACACTTCAAACCTACCTAACTGTGCTACCCGTATATAGAAATCTCGCACTTAGAAGTTCTTTGCTGCCTAAATGTACGCAAAAATAAACAATACTCTTACTTGGTTTGTGACTAAGACATAATTTCAAATAAAATTAAAAACAACACAAAACAAGTAAGGAAGGGCTAAGTTCGGATGTAACCGAACAATTTATACTCTCGCAAAGTCAAATGGTATACTCGTTTGAGATTTCTTTGTGGATTGACTGATATTTTCGGTAGAAGGTCAACTATAGGCACTGGGGTCCAAATATTTAGTACCTAGGGGCTTGAACAGTTTTGGTTCGATTTAGAGAATTTTTGGTCACAAGGTGGCATACTTTAAACGTATTATTCACGCAAAGTTTTACGCCGATATAATCATTGTTGCTTGATATGCATAGTGGAAAGTGAAAGAATCAAGTGGTATTTAAAATGGTGTCATATGGAAAATAGGCGTGGTTGTAGTCCGATTTCGCCCATTTTCGCACTATGACATAGAAACATAAAAAGAACGTTATGCACCGAATTTAGTTGAAATCGGTTAAGCAGATCTCAAGATATGGGTTTTCACCTAAAAGTGGGCTGTGCCACGCCCACTGTCTAATTTTGAACGCGGTTCCTTTAAAGTCATCTTATACCATCTCAGAGATAAAATTTAATGTCTCTGACGTATTTAGTGCTTGATTTATCGCGCTTTTAGTAGTTTTAACAGTACCGTTATATGGGGAGTGGGCGGAGTTGCCACCCGATTTCACTTATTTTCACACCGTCAATAGAAGTGCTAAAAACATTTGCTTCTAGTGAATTTTGTTATTATAGCATTAGCGGTTTAGGAGATATGCACATTAAACCTGTTAGAGGCGGGACCACGCCCACTGTCTAATTTTGAACGCGGTTCCTATAAAGTCATCTCATGCCATTTAAGAGATAAAATTTAATGTCTCTGGCGTGTTTAGTGCTTGATTTATCGCGCTTTTAGTAGTTTTTAACAGTACCGTTATATGGGGAGTGGGCGGAGTTGCCACCCGATTTCAACTATTTTCACACCGTCAATAGAAGTGCTAAAAACATTTGCTTCTAGTGAATTTTGTTATTATAGCATTAGCGGTTTAGGAGATATGCACATTAAACCTATTAGAGGCCGGGACCACGCCCACTTTTTAAAAAAAAGTTTTAACTGCAGATGCCCCTCCTAATGTGATCCTGTGTACCATATAACAGTCTTGTATCTTATTGCGGAGCTTAGTTATGGCAAGTTATTTGTTTTGGATTAATGGCGTTTTGTGGGCGTGGCAGTGGTCCGATTACGCCCATCTGCAATACCAACCGTCTCACGGTACCATGAAACATGTCTACCAAGTTTCATAGTATCTCAATTTACTCAAGTTACAGCTTTCACATACGGACGGACGGACAGACAGTCACCGGATTTCAACTCGTCTCTTCATCCTGATCATTATATATATATAACCCTATATCTAACTGATTAGTTTTAGGTGATACAAACAAACGTTAGGTGAACAAAACTATTGTACTCTGTGGCAACAGGTTGCGAGAGTATAACGGAAAAAACAAGCAAAACTAACAAAATAGTAACGAGCAACGAATAAAATGGGGCAATATAACAATAAAAATACGTAACTAATTTCAAATTAACAACTCAAATTTCAAATGTAAAATAAATGTGTCGACACAGCAACAAGTTCAGCGCAAATATAGCAACGGCAGAGTGTAGCAAAAAACTCAACAAATATGTATTGCACGCTTTATAGCCAACGTACAACGAAAAGTACAGCAGCTTTGTATTAATACGTACTATTTTCATTTTTTTCCCGAACAATCAGAGCATGTTAACTGGACACTCACTTCCAGCTTACAGTTGCCCAATGACGATGACGATAAGGTTGACGTCGAAAATATTGCATTATTATCGAGATTATGCACAAAGTTGTTGTTGTGGTTCATTGAAGAATTCGCATCGAAGAAGCCATAATTGAACAGAGAGCCACCGCCAACACCATCAGCGCCGCTATTGTTATCAAAGCTGTTGCCAAAACCATCAGCATTACCAAATGTTGTTTGCATTGTTGTAGCTGACGTGGGCAGCATCGCCGCTGTCACTGCCGCTGGCAATTTGCATATTACGTATATTATCTACACTTTGACTATGAATTTGCACTTGTGTTTGGAATTGGTATGGTCCATCTTGTTGACTTTTATTAATGTTGTTATTGCTGTTGTTGTTGTTGGGATAAATAAAAAAGTCGCTTGAGCTGGCAAACGAGGAGTTGAAGACGTCAAAATCACTTTTAGAGTATTGCATAGCTGGTTTGTTATTGTTATTGTAGTTGTTGTTGGCTTGTTTGTTATTACTATTATTACTGTTATTTATTAAGTATGTCATTGTGATTATGCTCGCTGCTGCTATTTAAACTTGTAAAGTCGTCGCTATCGTAATCAGTGAAGAAGTTTCTGGAGGACTTAGTTGTCAAAAGGAAAAAAAAAACAATTTTGCGTTGTTGTTTTGGTTGTTTTTTTTTTTTTTGATGCGTAAGCCATCATTTTTTTTTTTTGATGAATTGAGAAGATAAATCAAATTTTTAAGAAGCAAAAGAATTGATAATTGTAGAATTTAATTGAATTAATAAAGTCAAATGAAAGTATAAGTTAATTTATAGCAGATTATAGTAAGTAAAAAAAATTAATATAAATATTTAGAGCACATTCACTATAAAATATTTAATTAAGCAAAATAATTACAATACGCAATAAGTATTTGTGGGGGACAGTATTTAGTTAAGAATTTTGAAATCTTTGACGATTCCCCTGTACATTTTGCAGTCATTTAATGAAATCGAATAATGCATTTCAGACCCTAGCAGACCATGCACCAAAGATATTGACTTAAATTACTTATAATAAAAATTTCAAACATTTTTTCTCTACTTGAAAAATCGTTTATTACAAATTTTATATTAATTTTCGCTGTATATATGAAATTATGGCATTAAGCTATAACTGTATGGCTAAACGTACCTGAGACACATTAGTGGAGTTAGCAATCGGCGCCCAAGGATCCTGATTCATAGTCATAGCAAAACTCTTTTGCTGTTTAAGCTGGTTAATGGGCGGTACCTGTAAATAACAGTAAAAAAACGGATAGGTTAATTTTTTATAGCTTTCAGTAGCTTTTGAGTATTTGTAACCAATCTTTTATTCTATGCAAGTATAACACAAGCGAATTTTACATAAATGACTCACCGCAGGCTGTTGTTGTTTGAATATATTTGTTTTTGGTGGTATAACAGTATCGCTAAATGGATTTTAGGCATCATTGCCAGCTTGTGACTGCGTTTGCGCGGGCTTTATTAGATTATCCAACTTAACTTCTGACGAATTTTCACCTAAAAACGATTGCGGTGTTTTCAGTTGTTTGCTCGTAATCCGACAGAGGATCCATTTCATCGAGTAGTCATGCTGTGTTGAAGATACAAAATGATTTCAGTAAATTGTGTGGCGCCCAATGGTGGACTTGAAATACTCCTGGCGAGCAGAGAAATGTCCATCAAATCTAACAGATGTGATTGTGACACTTCCTCTTTAGGCGCCGGCAGCTGGAACCGTTTGATCTTTGGAATAGTAGACAAATGCAAGAATTTTGGAATGGCGGCAGACAATAAATGTACATACTTGAAATCTTGTTCGCTCTGGCTCAGCGCAAGTTGTAGACGCACATCAATTCTTTCAATAAATTCCTCAGCTGCTTAGCCTTTTCAGGGGCCAGGTCTTAACTCGCTTCAAAGTACACGAATTCACCAACAAAAATCGTTTTGTTAATGACTTGAGGGTCAACGAAAAAGGCATCCTTTAACGATCTCTCCACATTTAAACCGATCATCAAAATTTCTTTCGAAATTTCATAAATTAAATGTGAAGATAAATATGAATGGCTACAGAAATATGAAATGAAAGTCGATGAACACACACAACAAAAAACGGCAATGTAGTGCAGAAATGTATTGATTTCAAGCGAAGCTATGGGTATTTATGAGTAGTACTGCGTGAAAATATAATTTACAATATTTTTGTACAAAATAGTATCAAAAGGTGTAAAATTGTATAAATTGAAATAACAATTAACATAATCAAATAAAAATGCAGTTATAAGTACCCACAGAGAGTAAAAGTATGAGTAAAAAAATAAACAAATTTCAACCGAAATCAAAATGAAATGAATGCGTTGATAATAGTTGCACAAAAGGGAAACTTTCACGACATGCGTGCGAAATCTTTATGTGCTTAACACTGTATACTTAGTTTGATGTGACCACGTTTTCACAATGACAATTTTGCAATTTTCTCGCAATCAAAATAGTTTGACTTGCGGCAATGTCAGAATGCCCATGCAAAGTGTTGCAAGTAGAGCCGTGCACACTACAGTAAATAGCACGCTTGCTACCGTTGCCGCCATGGCTCTAGCTGAACTTTTTAATGAATGGATAGCAGCGCCATTCAGTAGACGAACGCACACACAAAAAATACAAAAGCGACGAAAGGAGCGCATAACCACAGAAGTTGCCTACTAGGC